CCCCGCACGTAAATGCCAGTTGGCCTCAGAAGCTGCTCTCGTGGAATGTAAACAAACAAGACGTGGAGCGAGTTCATCGCTTAATGAACGCAGAAGAGAGCAACAAGTGTCCAAAAGAGCCGAAGCTCCAGTGAACACGGGGGTCACAGATGAGGATGGAGTAAAACCCTGTCGTGTTGAGGCGGAAACCTAATCCCAGTCAGCTCTCAGGATTAAATGTGTCTGAATCGTTCTGTGGAGAGAATCTACTTCTGTCTCTGCGTTTTGATGAACGCGCCTACCTGACCGAGGGTTTTACCTGAAGACGTGTCTCTTCTGTCTGCTTCAGCCTGTCAGGTACAAACTGGAGTTTAACAACACGTCAGACAAGGTTGGCACTTTAACACAACTTTTAACATTTTTCTTTTTGAAAATATTGTCAACGAGTTGGTTAAGAAGTGTCTGACACACCTGAAGGTAGAGGCGAACGATAATGATTTTGTGTCTGTTAGCAAAATATCTCACAAACCACTTTGAGAGACTATCAAACTCGAGGGTCGTGGGCCAGATGAGGTCTGCTACGGTATTTTCTGTGGACCGTGAGAGCTTTAAAGACATATCGGTGCCTTAAAAAGAGCTGCTTTAATGCTGTGTTCACACCGAACGCGATTTCAGCATCAGGAGCGTCAGGTTTACGTGCAAAGCGCGTCAAGTGGCGTCGGGAAGTGCTGCAGTGCGATTTGAAAATAAAGTTCAGATTTTCCAACTCCAGCGTTCGACGCGAAGCAACCAGGGTGAAACCCGACACACGGGACGCGATAGCGATGGCAGCGTTGCGAATCGCTCTCTCGGGTCGCTTATCTTCACAGAATTTGATTGGTTCTACTGCTTCTTGTAAAGGTTATTGGTGGTTCGCGAAAAAAAAGGACGTGTGCATTATGGACGTGTAAACTAAACAAATCTTGCGATGCTATTGATGTTGTAAAACAAACACCAAGATATGATTTTATGAGGAAAAACTTACCGGATAACTTCACCCTGGCACCAACAAATTCCCATAAAGCTGCCTTTTTAGTGATCACTTGTTGAAGGGTCATAAAAAAACTGGAAAGTTTGACAGAGCTAAAATAACGTTGAAAGTGTTAGCTAACTACAGTGTGTAGCATACTCTCCTCTCATTGGTCAGTCAATGAAACCCTCGCTGATTGGTTGAATGCCAAGCGATAGCGACAAAAGTTGAAACTTTCATATGTCGCGTCGCACGGCTACGTGAACGAGCGCAAAATTTCACATACGATTTTCACCGGTCGCTTGACTGGAGGAGGGCGCGCGATCGTCGCCTCATCGCATAAACTCCACAGGAAATGAATGGGGAGCGAGTGACGTCGCCTCCCATGTGTCGAGCCCTTTAGACACGAGTTTGACGCTGAAATCGCGTTCGTTGTGAACGCAGCATAAAGCCAGTGTTGACCGTAAACTACATTTCCCGTAATGCGTGTTGATTATTTTACGGCAGCGTCCCATTTTCACTGGCTAATTTTGCTGAGACTCAGTTGTATTGGGAAGTGGGAATTTCCCAATAACAAGTCGTAAATTTAAACTGGAATGCCCCTTCAGTGGGAATTCCTAGTCGGAAAATGGGAGAGTTCAGAGTCATAGACGGCAGCAACTCACCACAAATAAACAGTGAGTAAAACTCGTACTTTTAATAGTATTTATTTTACGTTTAGTCAATCGTACACGCAGTACTTTTCAGTGTTGACCTTTTTAAGGTTTGATGAAAGCTGCAGTCATTTCTCAACAAATGATGATCTGAGTCTAGAACTACAACATGAAAGGTGGCTGATATACATTTCTTCCAGGAATTCATCATTCTGTTTTTTTTTCTTCCTTGTAGTAGCTAAAACTTCTGAGGTTTTTATTTTTATTTTTTAAGAGCTTTCCAGTTAAGGGAAGTGAAAGGCAAACTGCTGCGTCCGGTCTTTTCTTGTGAGTGCCGAGGCTCCCATACATCAGCCCACACATCTCAACACACACACACACACACACACACACCCCACCCCGTGCACATACATACATCTGAATCCACACTTGACCCATCTCCCGCCTTGCCGCGTGAGCGCTGCAGCTGAGGGTGGGCGGGGTGACATAGCGGAGGATCAGCCAAGCTTCCTCACGCTCCGCACGTAGCACGACCATTAAAACACTGCTCCCTCTGGGGGGGGGGCAGGAGTCAAAGTTTACAGCAGTTCATTCCTCTCTGCTGCTTTAGCCCCGCCCCCTGCTTTCACTGTCTGTGCCACACACACACACACGCGCACACACACACACACACACACACACACACGCGCACACACACACACGAGCCAAATGTGTTGCATCGTACAGACAGGAAGCTCTTTGTCAGCGTGCGTGCTCCTCACTCAGCAGCCATCTTTAAAGACCCACCTCCTTTTAGTTTGTTTTTCTCCGCCCCTCCTCCTCCTCCTCATGTTGGAGTTCTGTTGTTTTCCAGCTTTGAAGGCCCTGATATTGTGCATTCCAGCGGTAACCTGCATCTCAAAAGAAGTGAGCACAATGTGGACTGACGTCAGCAGCCGCGATCAGAGAGGAGAAAAAAAGAAAAACAAGATCGAGGTTTCTGCTCGATTGCTCTCAGAGGAGAACTTCTTACAAATCATGCTTTTTTTTATCACTTCCTGTGATAAGGTGTTAATGTTGCTGTGGTTTGTGTTGATGCAAGTTCAGGAAGGAATGTGGACGAACTCGCCTTCTGCTGCTCTGCTCCCCGTTTCTCATTTCAGCTCCACTCAGTTAAAACGCTCCATGCAAACTGATTAAAGATATTTTAAAAGTTTTTATTTTTATTTCTGAGTCTCCGCTTGTGCTGCTGCTGTTTACACCTAGAAGTACACAAACGCTCGTGGGGGTTCCTGCCAACACCCGACCAGATCGTGCAAATGTTATTGGAGCAGGAAAAGGCGAGGGGAAGTTATCATGAACACAATATTTCCAGTTTATTTTCTCTTAGTTTGGCTTCTTAATGAGACGCTGGCGTGTTTAGTCTTGATTCAATTAAAGCAGAGGTCTAACATTTAAATAAAACTGTTTCTTACTAAGTACTAGTTTGTTTTAAACKGATCCATATAGGTTGAGTATTTTCTGTTGCTGCTCTGGAAGGAGCGACACCGACTCGTCAGGCAGGCCTCCTCACTGCCTGTTTTTAAATCAGTTCCTTAAAACTTATTTCTATTCACTGGCTTTTAACCTTGTTCTGTTTTAGCTGTTTTTGCTTGCTTTTTGTTGTTTTCATTGTTGATTTGTTTTGTTGTTTTGGCCCCTGTGTACAGCACTTTGTTGTTTTAAAGTGCTATAAAGCTGATTTGATTGGATTATATCAGGGGTGTCCAAACATTTTGTCACGTGGGCCAAAATCATAAAGTCAGAAGGACTTGAGAGCCAAAAATATTTTTCCTTTACCTGCTCAACAATAAACTAAGCATTGAATACTTAAATAAAACAAATAAAGTAGTCAGATTTATTGCTGGAAATGGATGTGTAAATTAATCCAGATCCAGAACTTTTAAAGGTGTTTTGCAGGTTTCCCTTATTGAAGGAAATTTTGCGATTTTCTAGATTTCAATTGGGGGAAAAAATAACCCAATTTAGTCAACTCTGATCAATAAAATCAGGATTTAGGTCACTCTCGTTGAAAATGCTCGCTGTATTCAGATCAATTTAATAAATTAATTAAAAGCAGAATGGAGTGCAGCAAAATAAGCTTTTCAGTAGAAGTCACTGGATAGATGTGGGAAAAGTCTGGTTATTTAAAAGACAAATAATTGTTATTGTTGCCAATATTTTTAATTATAAGATTTTACTTTGTGATAAATTTACCCTAATAATAAATAGAAAGTCTCCATCTACATCAAACACCTGCCGGGGGGACAAATTTGTAAACAAATTAGTAAAATTCTTGAATTGAAATCAGTGGCCACACAAAATCAGTTCAGGGGCCACAAATGGCCCCCGGGCCACACTTTGGATATCCCTGGATCATATATAATCTTAAATTGACAATTTGTTAGCCTGCCTGCTAACTACCACAACAACAGTGGCTGAAAATAGGCAACAACCTCAGAAGAGCCGTTAGAGTTTGAGAAGTCTGACAAATTTCAATGTTTTCATGCTCAGGTTTGTTTACTAGAGCTTTAAATAGCAACGTTTGTCCCAAGTTAATGTGCTTTTTCCAGACTATGACCTGCAGTAACTGATAAAAACATTGAATTTATTTCTAACACTTACATCGGATCAATGCAAGCAGGACAGGATCAGTATTTAAGTATTTCTTTGACCTTTCTGATTAAAAAAAACACAAAATTAGAAAAACAAAATAAATTTTAAACACAGTGGGTATCATGTCAGATCAGTACCAAATTTTGCAGTTTATTTAACAACCAGCCTAATGTATCTGTCATGACTCGTATTTTTTTTTTTTGTAAATTCATTCGTTTACGTTCAGCGCAGACCTGCATTTCAGACTTTCATATCAATATATATGGGAAAACTACTAAATGCACCTTTTTGTTATAGTTCAGGATAATTCTTTGTTTGATTTCATAGTTTCTGCTGCTGCGAGGTGTTAAAAACCTCAATTATGGCAAAAACAAAAATAAAGATTTTTATGGATTTTGCTCTGCAGCCTGTGTGCGTCACATGGGTCCAAAGTAAAAACTGCCCTTTGTCCTTTTTGCTGCAGGAATTCCATGCATATTTTATAAAATAAATAAATAAATAAATAAACAGATCAAATGCAGTACTGTTCATCCTTGAGTAAAAGCAAACGATCATGAAGCTGCGTTTCTAATCTAAACTACAGCTCTGGTTCTGATCGACCCGGCCTCCAGAACCGCTTCCTCTCTTGTTCTATCGTACGGCGACACGTCACTCCAAGATTCCCGACGCTCCTTGTGTGTGAGTCTGTTTTCACTAATCACACTTTCCCATCTTTCCCTCTTCAGGCCATGGTGGCGTGTTACCCTGGAAACGGGACGGGTTACGTTCGCCACGTGGACAACCCCAACGGAGACGGACGCTGCGTCACCTGCATTTATTACCTTAACAAAGACTGGAATGCCAAGGTAGAGGGAACGGTTTTTATTCTAAAGATTGTTTTCATTTCATTTAAACCATCAACACAAATGTCATTTATTCACCAAAAAATGCACCGAGATGCATGAGACTCCGTTAGCAAAATAACTCACGAATAACTGGGTGGATTTTATTCAAACTTTCAGGAAATAGTCCCTGGTTGAACTTCAAAAACTGATTAACTTTTGTAGCCAACATAATTCAAGATGGCCGCCACAGCCAGCTAACCTTAGAAAGCACAGAATCGACTATAATCCAGTGAGTTTTGAAGATTTGTTTTGAATTTTGGGATGATGGTAGCTGAGAGTCATCCACAACACACACTCCACATAGATGGAGTGTGTTTACCGGAGTAGTTACCTGTATTGGATCTGGTACTATCTTGTATACACTGAGCTGGTACCTGGTACACTACTTACATGACATGTACCTGTTTTTTTACAAGGTAAATATGTGGTACTTACCTGATATTAACTGGGCATGCACTTGTGTTTTTATTAAGTATCTGGTATATACATGTGTATACAAATACTTACAGGGCATGTACCTGGTACTTACCAAGCATATACCTGATTTTTACCTGGTAAGTATCTGGCATTTACCTGGAATGTACCTAGTACTTACCCAGATTGTACTTGCCTTTTACCAGGAAAGTATCTGTAGTTAATGTATATACCTGGTACTTTCTGGTACCTGGTATATACACTGGTATCTGGTAATTACTGCACATTTATCTGGTATTTATATGTACTGATTTTTTACAGGCATGTACCTGGTACTCACCTGGTAATTACTGAGCATGTACCTGGTACTTACCTGGTAATTACAGGACATGTACCTGGTACTCACCTTGTAATTACAGGACATGTACCTGGTACTCACTTGTAATTACAGGACATGTACCTGTACTCACCTTGTAATTACAGGACATGTACCTGGTACTCACCTTGTAATTACAGGGCATGTAACTGGTACTCACTTGGTAATTGCAGGGCATGTACTTTTACTTACTTGGTAATTACAGGACATGTACCTGGTGCTTACCTGGGAAATACGGGACACGTACTTGGTACTTACATGGTAATTGCGGGGCATGTACCTGTACTCACCTGGTAATTACAGGACATGTACCTGTACTCACCTGGTAATTA